AACAGAAATGAAGAAGCTGTAAAATAAGAATTTAATAAAATTCATAAACTAATATATATTTTAAATATATTAAAAAATGTCATATTTGTTAACTTTTTGGAAATAGTGGGAGAATACCAAATTAATTTTTCTATCTCCATTCTTATAAAATATCTTTTTTCAGGAACTGAAGTGAAAAAAATTGAAGCTATAAATGTTCCTTGCACACAGCTTTCAATGTCATTTTTTCATCGGTTATATGATGAAGATATTGTACGAGACAATGGACATATCGTTAAATGTTTAGATTCTTTTTGTGATCCATTTCTCATTTCTGATGAGTTACGAAGAGTAAGTACAGAATTTTAAAAATTCACAGTGGAATTTTATTTCAGGAAATGCAAAAATGTCAAAAACCTTTTTCCTGCTTAAAGCATAAAATACCTTCTCATAAAATACCTTTTATTTATAAATAATGATCAGTAATAATCCTAACACTGGTAGATTTCTACTTAGATGCACTTTAGCCATCAACTTAATTATTTGTGCATTTCAGTAATTCTCAAATAGGTGCTACTAACATCTGATAGGTATAGATACTGCTAAACATTATATAACTCACAAAACAGTCACCAGAAAGTCATCTGGCTCAAAAGGTCTGTAGTGCTGAAGTAGGGAAATCCTGGCCTATATAATAAGGCTATTTTTGTTCGATGTGGGCTTTTAAATTTATCAAATGAATATTAAAAACATCCCCGGGCTGGGCACGGCAGCTCATGCTTGTAATTTCAGCAGTTTGGGAGGCTGAGGTAGACAGATGGTTTGAAACCAGGAGTTCAAGACCAGCCTCAGCAACATGGCAAAACCGTGTCCACAAAAACTATGAAAATTAGGGCTGGTGGCTCACACCTGTAGTCCCAGCTGCTCAGAAGGCTGAAGTGAGAGGATTGCTTGAGTTTGGGAGATCAAGGCTGCAGTGAGCTGTGATCATGCCACTGCATTCCAACCTGGGTGGCAGTGCGGGACTTTTTCTCAAAAATAAAATTAGGTAAATACAAACATCCCAGGAGTAAAAGAATCTTTTTATCTCATTGCTGATAACAACAAAGCCATTGGATTAACTAAATTAAATTTTGTTTTAGTGAAAGGTACACTGAACTTGGAATTAAAATATATAGATTGTTTACCTGATTCCTGACTTATTGTTTAGAAGATAATAATCTTGCCGGGCGCGGTGGCTCAAGCCTGTAATCCCAGCACTTTGGGAGGCCGAGGCGGGTGGATCACGAGGTCAAGAGATCGAGACCATCCTGGTCAAC